TTGACTGCTGCTTCCATGGGTGTTGATTGTGGATCCAAGTAAAATGAAATCCTTGACAACTTCAATCTTTTCTCCATTTATTATGATGCTGCTTATTGGTCCAGTTGTGAGGATTTTTGTTGTATGTTGAGAAGTAATCCATACAGAAGGCTGTGGTCTTTGATCTTCATCAGTAAGTGCTTCAAGTACTCTTCACTTTCAGCAAGCCAAGGTTGTGTCATCTGCATAACGCAGGTTATTACTGAGTCTTCCACCAATCCTGATGCCCCATTCTTCATATAGTCCAGCTTCTCAGATTATTTGCTCAGCATACAGACTGAATACGTATGGTGAAAGGATGCAACCCTGACGCACACCTTTCCTGACTTTAAACCACGCAGTATCCCCTTGTTCTGTTTGAACAACTGCCTCTTGATCCATGTACAGATTCCTCATAAGCACAATTAAGTGTTCCAGAATTCCCATTCTCTGCAATGTTATCCATAATTTATTATGATCCACACAATCAAATGCCTTAGCATAGTCGACAAAACACAGGTAAACATCTTTCTGGTATTCTCTGCTTTCAGCCAGGATCCATCTGCTATCAGCAAAGAGATCCCTCGTTCCACATCTTCTGAATCTGGCCTGAATTTCTGGCAGTTCCCTGTCGATATACTGCTGCAGCTGCTTTTGAATGATCTTCAGCAAAATTTTACTTGCATGTAATATTAATGCTATTGTTCGATAATTGCCGCGTTCAGTTGGATCACCCTTCTTGAGAATAGGCATAAATATAGATCTCTTCCTGTTGGTTGGCCAGGTAGCCGTCTTCCAAATTTCTCTGCATAGATGAGTGAGCACTCCCAGCGCTGCGTCCGTTTGCTGAAACATCTCAACTGGTATTCCATCAATTCCTGGAGCCCTGTTTTTCACCAATGCCTTCAGTGCAGCTTGGACTTCTTCGTTCAGTACCATCAGTTCCTGATCATATGCTACCTCCTGAAATGACTGAATGTTTACCAATTCTTCTTGGTATAATGACTTTGTGTATTCCTTCCATGTTCTTTTGATGCTTCCTGTGTCGTTTAATATTTTCCCCATAGAATCCTTCACTATTGCAACTTGAGGCTTGAATGTTTTCTTCAGTTCTTTCAACTTGAGAAAAACCAAGCATGTTCTTCCCTTTTGGTTTTTTATCTCCAGCTCTTTGCACATGTCATTTTAATACTTTACTTTGTCTTCTTGAGCCACCCTTTGAAATCTTCTGGAATACTACTCAGCCATAAAGCGAAATGAAGTACTGATGCATGCCACAACATGAATGAACCTTGAAAACATCATGCTGAGTGAAATAAGTCAGCTGCAAAAGGACAAATATTGTCTGATCTCACTTATATGAAATAAGCAAATATACAGAAACCAAAGATTATTAGTGGTTACCAAAGGTGGGAAGGGAGAGGGGAAAGGAGGAGTTCTTGCTTAGGGGCGCTGCGTTTATGTTAATGGTGACAGAATAATTTGGAAAAGGATAGTGAGAATGGTGGCACAACTTAAAAAATGTAATCAATGTCAATGAATTGTACGTGTAGAAACTGTTAAGTTGGCATATGTTTTCTATGTATATTTTTACCACACCATAAAAAAATGAATTAGATACTATTAATTAGCTATCATTCTAACACTACAGTGAGTTATTAGTAACAGCCTATACCTAAAAATAAGTGTTTTATAAGCAATAACAGGATTTTAATTTGAAAAGACAAAGTGTATCAAGACATTAGCCGATAATCTTCCTTAAAGAATTTGATTAAGAACAACAATAGTTTCAAGAAAATGTTTCTTTTTGTGAAATATTACACATCAGTTCCCTTGATACTTTGTGGAAAATTAAATGTTCTTCCTCCTAAAACACAGCAACACTTTTCATAAAACAAAGAACTTAGTATTTTAATTTTGGCTCTCTTCTTGGCTAAATGTATCATACAGCTTGCTAAAAACTAAAGCTAATTAATCCTTATCTTTTAAAATTATTTGGTTTTGCCTAGTTATCCCTGCAATCCACTAAAAACATATGCATCACTATAGAAGTATGGTAAATTACACTGTTGTTAAAAGATCCAAATGTAGAATTTGAAATGCCTTACATTTTCGTTTCTTTTGAGAAGATCATCATCATTGTAAAGAGGCAAGCTTGTCACCATCCATCCGGTGCATAATTTAATCGCACCCATTAACTGTGGACTCCCCGCAAACACAGCTGCAACTGGAGCTTGCCTTCTGCAAAGAACCATAAAGATTTACACACTGAAAAGACAAGTATACTATTAGATCAATGATTTATATTGACTCTGAAATACTAGGTAACTTACAGTGTATTGTACACTTAAGTTTCAGTGTGAGTTTTCATTCATTTATGAATTCATCCAAAAAAACTAAACATCTATGTGTCAGGCACTGTTTTGTTTTGAGTACTGGAGATATGGCAATCAAAAAAAAAAAAAAAGACAGCGTTCTTCCTCTCAAGAGGCAGCACAGGGAGACAATAAATAAACATGTATACATCAGGTGGTAATAATGCTACTAAAAAATAATGCAGGGTAAGGGGATAGAGAGTGACAGGAAGATATTATTTTAGATGGGATGGCTAGGTCGATGGTGATACTGTAAATTCTCAAATTCATCTTTTGCGAACATTAACTACACAACCCAACTGCTTCCAGATCCATCTATTCTCTGCTTCTTCTGTGTTTTCACCTAGATAACGCATGTAATACTTCTCCACTCTGAACCATGATCCAAAGTCCCAGATAGTTGCCACTTGTGATGCTAGGAAACCTACAAGAAGGTCCCAAAGGGCTGCTCTAATGCCTTCACTTATATACTATTCATTCCCTTTATTCAGCATTTAGTGTCCACCTACTACACACTAGGCATAGTGCCAGGCAATGGAAATAGAGATGACAGCATATAACCACTGTCCTTAATAAACAACAAGTATGGTGAGAAAACAGACACGAAACAGAGTTAATTACTCCGTAGTAAGGATAAACGTCCAATGTATGACAGTTCAGGCCTTTGCTATGTCTTTAAAAATATTATTGTGGTATATCACATACACAGACATAATGTCTTCTTTTGTTAATGACATCAGGCTGTGTATTCAGTGCTCCACGATGGTAAATACAATGCTGAAATGTCAAGACCTTATAGTGTCCACATTCACAAAAAGAATTAATGGGTATTATTTAAGAGTGATATAATGAAAATGATTTTTGAGGGTATATCAGGCACCAGGATCACTTTTTATGCTAATTTCTTGATTTGGGGTTTCTTGGATTAAGTAACGGTAATTTTAAACCCAAAACTCATGTGAATTCAGCTCCATTGCTACAAATTCAGAGAAGAGGTCTTTTGTTTGTCCAAGAGGTAAGGCCAAAAGAGACATATTTCTTATCATCTTTCTCTACCACTTGGTAGATGCTTTGCTAGTCCATCCTTTTCCTGATAGTGTACCCCTTGTAGGCCCCTGAGTTATGTTTGGAGCCCTGGTGGTGAGTGGTTAAGCATTCAGCTCCTAAAAAGGTCTGCAGCTTGAACCCACCAGCCACTCTGCAGGAAAAAGATGTGGCAGTCTACTCTTGTAAAGATTCATAGCTTTGGAAACCCCATGGGGCAGTTCTAATCTGTCCTATATGGTTGCTATGGGTCAAAATCGACTGGATGGCAATGGTTTGTATGTGTGTGTTGGGGGAATTGTCTCAATTGCAACTCCCTGCTTCCATAGGCCCAAGACCACAATAAAGCCCAAACTCCTTGCTTACCAAGATTAGCAAGCCATCCCCCAACCACCTACAATTTAGGGCAAAGGAAGCATCTTCTTGACTATCTAAATAAAAGAATATTTGTTCTTTTCTAAGCATTTGAAGGTGGGTGGGTTTTCAGGCTATCTAGTCTGCCATATTGCCAAAAATGGAAGACTAAAATCCTGAATTTATCAATGCACCATAAATATCAGTTTAATTAGAAAATTAGAAATACAAAGTTCCATGAAAAACTAGACACTCCTAAAAAAACAGAACAAAATTCCTGAGTTTTAAGATAAGAATTTGGAAAAGAATTTATTATTTCCCGTGAATCTATTAGATAGCGTATAATGATTAATTAATAGCTTAACAGATAGTTTTGGGCAGTTCAATTCTTACTTTATCCAGGTCATAAGTTCCACTGTATCTGGGTCATAGAATTCCTGTAGTTCCGATAATTCTGTCATTAATTTTGGAAAAAACTAAAATGCAAAACAAAATCCCCAAAAGATGTGTATAAGTAACTAGAAAGTTTAAAACTGTTCACAGTATTTCAAAAGACTAAGATTAACTTAAGGTAAACGGTATTACAATGTTGTTTTTATAGAAAAAAATATCACGAATCTCACTGCTTTCTTTCAGTGACCTGCTCATTCTTCTCAATCCAAATAATCTTATAGTAAATTAGCTGCCTAGATTCAATAAATATCTTTGTCATTACCAAACAACTAATCATTAGTTTTATCTTTCATGCACACACACACTAAAAAATAAATAAATAAAAATGTCAAGGTCAAAGGATTTGCAAGCTTATTGGCAATTAGTTTCATGTTATAATAAGCCGAAGTATTTATATCATTTTATTGATATTAAAATTTTGGAGATGCCAAAATATTTTTTAATACTAAGATCTATCTGTTTAGCAATTTCTTTTACCAATTACAAATTGAATTACTGAGAGCACTAAGTATTACTAAGAATATTAGTATATTAGTAATACTATATTAATATACTACTATCTAATACTATAATAACATTAGTAATACTGTATTTTGTTAGAAGAGTGTCTAAATACAAGTCTCCTCCCCACACATATAAATTTATCACTCTCTTGGAAATAAAGTACAGTTCAATAATGTAGAAAACTGATTTTCTTACCTCCTTCCATAAGCTAAAACCTATTATAGTAGGCACAGCCATGCTCAGAATAAGAGCCTAAAATATTAAAGCAAAAAGAGTTATGGAGAAATACATTTCAGAATGCACCTTTGAGGTACTACACAATGACTTTATGGCCAATCACAAATAAAACAACTCACATATCCTTATAATTATGATCATTTCAGTCAGAGATATCAAAAAGTCAGCATGGAATCTAATTCCTGGAGTAAGATGGGTATAAGATCAATGAGTTTCAAACATATTAAGCTGCAGATAAAGTGAGACATACATATTTGCCTATGAATTTAAGGCAGAACATAAAAAAGGCAATATTCATAATAATATTTCAAATAGGGAATTAATATTTGACGTTTTATTGGAATTTAAATTATGAGGCACTTACAAAGTATACTGAACTGCTATCTAAAAAGCTAATAACAAAACAATGAATTAATACAGAAAAACAGCTAACATATATCAATATGGAAACCCTGGTGGCATAGCAGTTAAGTGCTACAGCTGCTAACCAAAAGGTAGACAGTTTGAATCCACCAGGTGCTCCTTGGAAACCCAATGGGGCAGTTCTACTCTGTCCTATAGGGTCACTGTGAGTCAGAACTGACTCGACAGCAATGGGTTTGGTTTGGTTTTTTAATATATCAATATACTAATATGTTAAAGTAAAGTAAGAATGTATGACTTCTTGGAAAAGACTGGCAAAATTCAACATGACTATTGTTAATTCATCATATTCCTGCCAAAACCATTCTTCTTCCTATCATCCCCATACATTTAGTGACCCTGAGATTCACAAAGGCATACAAACCAGAAACCAAGGAGTCATCCACAATTTATTCCTCTTCCTCATTCCTCCATATTTAATCAAGCACCAAGTAATACTTACTATTTTTCTAACTTTCATTTATATATTTTTTAACTCCAGTATAGCATAAAACCAAAAATAATCAAACCTGTTGCCATTGAGTCGATTCCGACTCATAGCGACCCTATAGGACAGAGTAGAACTGCCCTGTAGCGTTTCCAAGAAGCAGCTGGTGAATTTGAACTGCTGACCTTTTGGTTAGCAGCCGAACGCTTAACCACAGCGCCAGCAGTGCTCGCCAGTATGCCACAATATTAATCAAATGGGCTTTTGATTCAAAATACCAGGATGTGAATCATGGTTTCCATATTTATAAGCTGTAAGTGATCTCTAAAAAACAAAAACCAAACCTGTTGTTGTCGAGTAAATTCCGACTCGTGACCCTATAGGACAGAGCAGAACTGCCCCACAGTGTTTCCAAGGGGCGGATGGTGGATTTGAACTGCCATAGCTCTTAACCACTGCGCCATCAGGGCTCATAAGTGATCTCAGGTAAGTTATTTAACCATTTTAAGCCTCAGTTTGTCTATAAAATGGAGATGATAAAACCTAGCTAACAGGGTCTTTGTAAGCATTGAACCTGACACTCAACAAATTGAAACTTTCATTACTTTCATCCACCATGGCCTATATATAGGGGCAGTAGCCTCCTTCTTGGCTCTAGTTTGTTACCCTCAGGCCTATCCTTCACAGAACTGTGGAAGTAATCTAACAGAAAATGTAAGTCTGACGTTCTCACTCCTCTACATAAAAATCTTCAAGGACTTCCACTGCCTTTAGAAGGCCAAGTTCCATGGCATGACATTCAAAGGCCTCCATGACCTGACCACCCTCTACTTCTCCAGTTTCATTTCTTAACCACCCCTGCCTCAAACCTGATTTGCCAACGAAACTAAACATACTATGCTTTTTTCTTTTTTAGTCCTTTTGATTAGATCATGCTCTTTGCTTACCTCTGTATTTATTCCTTCTACCATGAAAACCACCCCTCCCTTCAAATCTTAGATTGGAAAGTCTTCTCTGAATCTCTAAAAAACTGAATGAAGTAGTCCTCCTGTGTGTTCCAATAGCACCTTATGAATACTTCTTTTTGTTTTATGCCTAGGAGTCTATAATCTACTTGATAAAATTAACTGTTGTGATGGTTAAGATTATGTGACAACTTGGCTAGGCCATGATTCTCAGTGTTTGCATATGATCACTCACATGATTGAATATGCCATGAGTAGACAATCAGTGAAAACGGAGTTTCCCTGGGGGTGTGGCCTGCATCTGAATATAAGCAGACATTCTGGCTTTTTGCTCACTCTGGATTCTGCGGCTGCCTCCTGGTCATCTGGCCTCCGGTTCTTGGGACTTGAGCTATTAGCTTATCTGCCGATCCTGGGATTCGTCAATCTTCACAGCCTGTGAGCGAAGTCATGCTTTCCATCCTGTCGATCTTGGGTTTGCCAGCCCCTGTGGCTATGTGAATCAGGAGAAGCCTCTATCCGAATCCACAAACTTGGGACATTTCAGCCTCTACAATTGCATAAGCTATTTCTTTGATATAAATCTCTCTATATATTTATACACTTTACTGGTTTTACTTCTCTAGAGAACCCAGCCACTGAGAGTGGTTCTAGAGAAACAAAATTGTAAGGATGAGTTTTTTACATTGATTCTCAAGCCTGGTTAGTTTTAAAGATGTTGATGACTCTGCTTACAGCATTAAAGAGGGTACTGCTAATCCATGGGGTAAGGTGGCGATACAAATACGCAAAATATCACCACCAGTAGATCAGGGATTGATGAAAGGCAAGGCTCAGGGTGAACACATGTGTGATATCTTTATACAGTTGTGTCAGAATGAGAAATATAAGGAAGCTGGTTGGTTGGTCCTACTTTCGCTAGACAAACTGACAAAAGAAAGAGATGTGCTCAGGGCTTCAGAGCCAAAGCTCAAGGACCGCACAAACGACCTCAAGGCTTCCACTTGTGCTGTGAAAGCAAGCCTTATTTCTTGGAGTAACAGAGCTGAAATTGCCGAAAACCAAACCCAGAGTCTTACTGTAAGAGTGGCTGAATTACAATGCCAGCTCAACTGCCAACCTCGAGAGGTGTCTGAAGTTAAAGTAACAGCATTGATTGGGAAGAAATGGGATCCTGAAACTTGGGATGGAGACATACAGGTAGATAATTAGGAAGCTGGGAACACTGAGCCCCTGAATTCCACTGAATCACTCCTGCCAGCAGAACCACTCCCATCTGAACAGATTACTTCACGTCTGTCTGCTAAACCACCCTGCCCAGCAAAACCATTAGCCCCTCCACCACCATTTAATGATATCAGCCCTAGCCCAGTTGCCTCTAAAGAGCTCTTGCTTGAGTCATTGCCTGGGGCATCGCCTGAGGCAGATGCTTTACAAGACAATGCTGAATGTTCTCAAAACAATTCCACACTACCCATTCTGGCTGCTAGACCTATAACCAGACTTAAGTCCCAGAGAGCCCTAAAAGGTGAAGTACAAAGTGTGACCCAGGAGGAGATACACTACACTCCAAAAGAACTGCCTGACTTTTCTAATATGTACAGAGACCTGGGGAATATATATGGGAATGGCTATTAAGGGTGTGGGATAATGGTGCAAGGAACATAAAGATGGATTAGTCTGAGTTTATTGATATGGGTCCACTAAGCACAGATTGTTCATTCAATGTTTCAGCTGGAGAAGTTAGGAAAAGATCTAATAGTTTATTTAGTTGGGTTGCTAAAGCATAGATTATGATGTGGCCTAAACTAAATCAAGTTCAAGTACCAGACCTGCCTTGGTATACTGTAGAAGAGGTTATCCAAAGGCTTAGGGAAATTGGCATGCTAGAGTGGATTTATCAGGTTAGACCCACAGAACCACACATGGAATGCCCAGAGGACACACCTTTTACCACAACTATGAGGAACACATTTGTGAAGGGGAGGCCAGGTCCCTTTAAGGAAGGACTCCAATACACTGCCAAAAATCTTTACTGTTAATCTTTCTCCCAGCCTTCCCCAAAGGGATCTACAGCCTTTTACAAGAGTGACTGTTCACTGGGAAAAAGGAAATAATCAGACTTTTTGGGGATTACTGGATACTGGCTCTGAATGGACACTAATTCCAGGAGACCCAAAACGTCACTGTGGCCCACCAGTCAGAGTGGGGGCATATGGAAGTCAGGTTATTAATGAAGTCTTGGCTCATGTCCGTCTCACAGTAGGTCCAGTGGGTCCCCGAGCCCATCTTGTAGTGATTTCCTCAATTCAAGAATGCACAATTGGGGCAGATATACTCAGCAACTGGTGGAACCCCCACATTAGATCCCTGACAAACAGAGTAAGGGCTTTTACGGTAGGAAAAGCCAAGTGGAAGCCATTAGAACTGCCCTACCTAGGAAAATAGTAAACCAAAAGCAATACTGCATTCCTGGACAGACTGCACAGACTACTGCCACCATCAAGGACTTGAAGGATGCAGGGGTGGTGATTCCCACCACATCCCCATTCAACTCGCCTATCTGGCTGGCCTGTGCAAACAACAGATGGATCTTGGAGAATGACAGTAGATTATCAAAAACAACGAGGTGGTGACTCCAATTGCAGCTGCTGTTCCAGACGTAGTTTCATTGCTTCAGCAAAAAATACATCTCCTGGTACCTGGTATGCAACTATTGATCTGGCTAATGCCTTTTACTCCATACCTGTTTCCAAGGACTACCAGAAGCAGTTTGCCTTCAGCTGGCAAGACCAGCAATACACCTTCACTTGCCTACCTCAGTGCTACATCAACTCTCCAGCCCCATGTCATAATTTAGTCTGCAGGGACCTTGATCACCTTTCCCTTCCACAAAATGTCACATTGGTCCATTACATTGATGACATTATGCTGATTGGACCTACTAAGGAAGAAGTGTCAATGACTATGGATTTATTGTAAAATATTTGCGTGCTAGAGGGTGGGAAACTAATCCCACAAAAATTCAGGCACCTTCCACCTCAGTGAAATTTCTAGTGGTCCAGTGGTGTGGGGCACATTGAGACATTCCTTCTCAAGTGAAGGATAAGTGATTGCATCTGGCTGCTCCCACAACTAGAAAGGAGGCACAACAACTAGTGGGCCTCTTTGGATTTTTGAGGCAATATATTCCTCCTTTGGGTATGCTACTCCAGCCTATTTATCAAGTGACTCAAAAAGCTGCTAGTTTTGAGTAGGGCCCAGAACAAGAGAAGGCTCTGCAACCGGTTCAGGCTGCTGTGCAAGCTGCTCTGTCACTTGGGTTATATGATCCGGCTGATCCAATGGTGCTTGAAGTGTCAGGGGCAGATAGAGATGCTGTTTGGAGTCTTTGGCAGGCTCCTATTGGTGAATCACAGTGCAGACCCTTAGGATTTTGGAGCAAAGCTCTACCATCCTTTGCAGATAACTACTCTCCTTTTGAGAAACAACTTTTGGCTTGTTACTGGGCCTTAGCAGAGACTGAACACGTAGCCATAGGACACCGAGTCACCATGCGGCCTGAGCTGCCCATCATGAACTGGGTGTTGTCTGACCCACAGAGTCATAAAGTTGGACGTGCACAGCAGCACTCCATCATTAAATGGAAGTGGTATATACGAGACCAGGCCTGAGCAGGACCTGAAGGCACAAGTAAGTTGCAAGAGGAAGTGGCCCAAGTGCCCATGGTCTCCACCTCCTGTCACATTACCTTCCATCTCCCAGTCTGTACCTATGGCCTCATGGGGAGTTCCTCATGATCAGTTGACTGAAGAAGAGAAAACTCATGCCTGGTTCACAGATGGTTCTGTGCAATACGCAGGCACCACTCGAAAGCGGATAGCGGCAGTACTACAGCCCCTTCCGGAGACCTCCCTGAAGGACAGTGGTGAAGGGAAATCGTCTCAGTGGGCAGAACTTCAAGCAGTGCACCTGGTTGCTCTCTTGCCTTAGAAGGAGAAATGACCAGATGTGTGATTATATGGTGATTCATGGGCTGTGGCCAATGGTTTGGCTGGATGGTCAGGGACTTGGAAAGAACATGATTGGAAAATATAGAGACAAGGATTTATGGGGAAGAGGTATGTGGATAGACCTCTCTGAATGGGCCAAAGAAGTGAAGATATTTGCGTCCCATATGAATGCTCACCAAAGGGTGACCTCAGCAGAGGAGAATTTTAACAATCAAGTGGATAGGATGCTGCGTTCTGTGGAAACCAGTCATCCTCTTTCCCCAGCTACTCCCATCATTGCTCAATGGGCTCATGAACAAAGTGGTCATGGTGGCAGGGATGGAGGTTATGCATGGGCCCAGCAACATGGACTTCCACTCACCAAGGCTGACTTGGCTACAGCCACTGCTGAGTGCTCAATCTGCCAGTAGCAGAGACCGACACTGAGTCCCTGATATGGCACCATTCCTTGAGATGATCAGCCAGCAACCTGGCGGCAAGTGGATTACACTGGACCACTTCCTTCATGGAAAGGGCAGCGTTTTGTCCTTACTGGAATAGACACTTACTCTGGATATGGATTTGCCTTCCCTGCGTGCAATGCTTCTGCCAAAACTACCATCTGTGGACTTACAGAATGCCTTATCCACCGTCATGGTATCCCACACGGCATTGCCTCGGATCAAGAGACTTACTTCACAGCAAATGATAATATGGCAGTGGGCCCATGCTCATAGAATTCACTGGTCTGACCATGTTCCCCGTCATCCTCAAGCAGCTGGCTTGACTGAATGATGGAATGGCCTTCTAAAGACGATTACAGTACCAGCTAGGTGGCAATACCTTGCAGGGTTGGGGCACTGTTCTCCAGGACCCTGTATATGCTCTAAACCAGCATCCAATATATGGTACTGTTTCTCCCATAGCCAGGATTCATGGGTCCGGGAATCAAGGGGTGGAAATGGGAGTGGTACCACTCACTATTACACCTAGTGACCCACTTGCAAGATTTTTGCTTCCTGTCCCCGTGACCTTATGCTCTGCAGGCCTAGAGGTCTTAGTTCCGAAGGGAGGAATGCTCCCACCTGGAGACACATCACTGATTCCACTGAACTGGAAGTTAAGAATGCCACCTGGCCACTTTGGGCTCCTTATGCCTCTGGATCAACAGGCAAAGAAGGGAGTTACCATACTGGCTGATGTGATTGATCCTGATTACCAAGAGGAAATCAGATTAATACTACATAATGGAGGTAAAGAAGAGTATGTTTGGAATGCAGGAGATTCCTTAGGGTGTCTCTTAGTACTACCATGCCCTGTGATTAAAGTCGATGGAAAACTACAGCAACCTAATTCCGACATGACTACTGATGACCCAGACCCTTCAGGAATGAAGTTTTGGGTCACCCCACCAGGCAAAGAACCATGACCAATCGAGGTGCTTGCTGAGGACAAAGGGAATACAGAATGGGTGGTGAAGAAGGTAGTTCTAAATACCGGTTATAGCCACGTGACCAGTTACAGAAATGGGGACTGTAATTGTTATCAGTATTTCTGCTTTGTATGTGTGCATCAAATATTTTTGTTTCCTTCACTTATAAAATATAAGATATAAATGGGGCTAGTGTGTTTTTGATTGTACGCGTGTTAGTTGTATCATGTTAGGTGCACGTATGACTTTCTAATTGTCTTTATTCAGAGATTATGTATGATTTAAGAAGATGTACACATGTGCCAAGTTGACAAGGGGTGGACTGTGATGGTTAAGATTGTGTGTCAACTTGGCTGGGCCATGATTCTCTGTGTTTTAATGTGATCACTCCCATGATTGAATACACTGTGAGTAGCCAATCAGATGAAAGGGAGTCTCCTTGGGGGTGTGGCCTGCATCTGAATATAAGCAGACATTCTGGTTTTTTGCTTGCTCTGGATTCTGCAGCTGCCTCCTGCTCATCTGGCCTCCGGTTCTTGGGACTTGAGCTATTAGCTTATCTGCCGATCCTGGGATTCGTCAATCTTCACAGCCTGTGAGCGAAGTCCTGCTTTCCATCCTGCCGATCTTGGGTTCGCCAGCCCCTGGCTACATGAATCAGGAGAAGCCTCTATCCTAATCCATGGACTTGGGACATTTCAGCCTCTACAACTGCATGAGCTGTTTCTTTGCTATAAATCTCTCTATATATATATTTATACGCTTTACTGGTTTTGCTTCTCTAGAGAACACAGCCTAAGACAACCACGTTTTATTTATCTTTGCATTCCAAGCACCTAGTTGGCGAAGTGCAGATGTTCCATTCACATGGAAAACATACCACAGTTCTAAACAAAACCAAGAAAGACATAAAAAGTAACTCTTGATGGCCTTTCACATTACTGACTTTAATTTTTACGTTTTATTTTTTAATTTATCTGCAATGAAAAACACTACTTCTATAATCAGAAATTATAAAAAATGATTTTCAAAGGGTCTCTTTCTACCTGTAAGTCATAACGTGATATATTCATGATATTTTAATTGCATTCAATGTTGTTTCCACTTATTAGCATTTGATTTAATGTAACTGGAAGAGAAACAAGTACTTAACACAAAATAATAATGACTCACCAACAGTATTGGATGTACAGTTCTCAATCGAAGCCATTTGAAAAGGGTCATCCAAAGTTCAGGAGAACATACACCAAATGCTGCTAACATGCACACATAAGGAGTCCATAGGTATTTTAAGCTAGAAAAAAACAAAAGGAGTCACAGATGACATCCCTATGACTATTATTATCAGATTATCTCTTTTCTGAATTCTCTCCTACTACTCATAAAAATACTAAAATGTCAAGGGAGAAATGAAAAAGCTTAGCCTCTAATTTTCAGCAACAGATTGTTATTTGGTTCTTACATAATCAAGAAGACGTGGATTACTAAATAAAGATGAAATATAAGCATTAATATTGATGAGGGTGCAATAAAATTATACTCATGGAAAGACTATAAACTGTTACAGCTTTTTCAGAAAGCAATTTGGCAGAACTTACAAGAATTTAAAATATCCTATGGTAGGCAATCCCATTGCTAGTAATCTAAAACAAACAAACAAAAAAAACCCATTGCTGCCGAGTTGATTCTTAATTATAGCGATCCTATAGCCTAAAGAAGTATTAGCATAAGCGTATAAAGATATATATACAAGGGTTTTAACTGTAGCATGTTGTTTTAATAGCAAAAAATTAAAAACAACCTAACCAAAACCAAACCACACCCACTGCATCGAGTCGATTTAGACTCATAGTGACCGTACAGGACAAAGCAGAACTACTCCACTGGGTTTCCATGGCTGTAAATCTTTACCAAAGCAGACTGCCATATCTTTCCCCCACACAGCGGCTATTCGGTTCAAACTGCTGACCTTTTGGTTGGCAGCCAAGCACTTAACCACTGCACCACCAGGGCTCCTTTTTAGAAAGGATAGTTCTTTGTAAAAATAAACAGATCAAATAAAGTAACTTACCCTTCTATAACCATTGCAAGAGAACCCAATAAAATAGTGTGAATTACATGATAAATTATTTCTGGCCTTCCTCCAATTTGTCCATCTTCGAGAGTAACAGTTTCTTTCACTGACTTGCCACTACAGAAACGAAATGAAAAATCAAAGATACATTGTTTATCATCTTTGAAGGCCATATCTAAAATTTTAATTTCTTCATGGAAGAAACAAAGACGGTTCTTGTTATGGATTAAATTGTGTATCCCAAAAATGTGTTGTAAATCCTAATCCCTATACCTGTAGTTGAAGCCCTAGTGGTGCAGTGGTTAAGAGCTTGGCTGCCAACCAAAACGCTGGCAATTCAGATCCACCAGCTGCTCTTTGGAAACCCTGTGGATCAGTTCTACTCTGTCCTATACGGTCACTATGAGTCATAATCGATTTGACGCCAATGGGTTTGGATTTGGTTTTTATACTTGCAGTTATAATCCCATCTGGAAATGAGTTTCCTCTGTTATGCTGATGAGGCAGTATTAGTGTATGGTATGTTTTAAGTTAATCTCTTTTGAGATATAAAAGAACAGATTAAGGAAGCAAGCAAGCAGAGACAAGGAAAGATACTGTATTTTTACACAAATAAGTTGTGGGTTCTACTTTTTTTGCCAACTGCCCCCATCCCAGTATTTTCCTTAGCATGCTATGCTAATTTTATTTTACAACAACATGTAAAAAAATTAGCGTAGTGCACTTATGAAAATACCTGGGGAGGAGGCAGGGCACAGTTGGCAAAAAAATGTAGAACATGTGTAAAAATATGGTAGATGCCATGCCACACAAAGATCACCAAGGAGCCAAGAAACAGATGCTAGAAAGAGACAAGGACCTTCCCCCAGAGTGGCCAGAGAGAGAAGAGCCTTCCCCTAGAGCTGGAGCCATGAATTCAGACTTCTAGCCTCCTGTGTGAAAATAAGTGTCTGTCTATTAAAGCCACCCACTTCTGTTATTTTTGTTATAGCAGCACTAGATAACACAATTCTTCAAATCTGAAAATATATTCTGCTACTCAAATACCTAACTTACGTATCTCCAAATCTTTGTAAATGGCCTTCAGAATTGGAAGACAATTGACTTTCTGAAGACTAATATGAAAGTTCAGGAAATATAATAAAGAAGTTTCCTTTTCTAAGATCTATTAGCACTCAACTAGTGACTGCTAAATCGATATGGTTAAATCATAATTTCAATAACTAAGTCCTCAAAATTAAGATATTATATACAACTTCCTTTCGAACATGATAAAAATACTTAAGAATAGTCAAACTTTACAACTTAAAAATCACCTGTACTACTAGTGTCATTTAAGTCAAATGGAAATTTTTCTTAAGTCAAAATTTGAGTAAATTAGTAAACCTGTCTGTAAAAGTTTAACTGATTATTTAAATATTACTCCTATATTAAGTTTGGACATTACATATTGAGATATATAAAACTAAATTTTATCTGATTTGTTGATGATGTTGTTAATTCAGACTCATGGCAGACCCATGTGTGCAGAATAGAACTGCTCCACAGGGTTTCAAGGCTGGAACCTTTCAGAAGCAGATTACCAGGCCTGTCTTCTGAGGCGCCTCTGGGTAGGTTCAAACCACTAATCTTTCCGCTAGCAGTCAAGTGTATAACCATCTGCGCTACTCAGGGACTCCTTTTACTTGGTTAACTTATAATGATATTTTACATATCAATGAAGAGAATGGAATTAGAAGCTTTGAAACACCCAAATATTAGAAGGATATTAAAAATAAGCATTTTTTATATTTTTGGAATGTATTATTTAGTAATGTGATTGATTCTCATAGGTACTTACTTAATTCTTCTAAAATTAACTTGCATCATAGAGAGAAAACAAACAATTAACACTAAAATATAGAAAGGTAATAAAGAAGACTGTGTCAACCGCAAAAAAAAATCTTGAGATGGTGCCTGCAGGGATTCTTGACAAAGGAGCCAATTCATTGTAAAATTCCTATACAAGACAAAAAACATGACATTACAATCACAGGTGTTTTAGACTAGTGAACATAAATAAAAGTACTTTGTATCTCAGTAAAAACTAAGACAAAATGAAATATATTTCTCTAAATCCATTTGCTGATAACAGCAAGGTCCTATCCTTTATAAATGAAGATATTATTAGTAATCCTCCTCAACAAAGCACATACTTTCACCAAAAGTGCCCTAATAAATGTAAAACTACTGCTTTTTCTTAGCAGGTAGTATAACCGTATCTAAAGACCAATATGGTTTTAAGAAAGACAACAAAAATTTTCAGGTGTCCAACTAATTGCCACTGTGGCTATTGAGCAGTTGAAAGGTAGCCAATCTGAACTGAGATGTGTGTTAAGTACAAAAGAACCAAAAAAACCCCGTTGCCACAGAGTCGATTCCGACTCATCGTGACCCTATAGGACAGAGCAGAACTGCCCCACAGGGTTTCCAAGGAGCACCTGGTGGATTCAAACTACCAACCTTTTGGTTAGCAGTCATAGCTCTTAACCACTACGCCAGCAGGGTTTCCAAGTACAAAATAGGTAACGGATTTCGAAGAAAAAAAAAAGAGTGAATAAAGGAATAAAACAAAACTAAGTAGTGAGGGGGTGAAATTTTAGGGGAGTTTCACTCTATACAATGAATGTTTTAGTAATAGTTGAAATTTTATTAAATAAAATTTACTTATTAAATTTTATTAAATACATTTATAATAAAAAAATTTTAAATTTTTTACAGATATAAAAGATATCTCACTTTATGTATGCTTTCCTGCATATTTTCTTAAAAAGAAAAATTTGGAAATAAATTCTTGTGAACTAAAGTTGGCTTTCTACTTCAATAAAAGTAACATTTAAAACAACATAGCAGTAACAGTAATACTAGTTGTGGAAGTGTTACGTGCCGTCAAGTTGAGTCCAACTCATAGTGAACCTATACGACAGAGTAGAACTGCCCCATAGTGTTTCCTAGGTGGTACTATTTACAGGAGTTGTAGCAGTAGTAGTAATAATAAACATTTACTAAGGCCTACAATTGGCAAGCACTATTGTAGGCTCTATGGAAAGAGACTAGCAAAGCAGTTCTGCCTTCAGGGAACTTTCAGCTTATAAGAAGCAAATGTTAAATAAACACATTAAATGTAGAAAGAAGTATTCATTCATTCATCAAACATTTATTGAGCACCTACTTCGTGTCACGCCTTGTTCTAAGCACTGGGGACACAAGGGTGCACAAGATAGACACAGTCCCTGCTTATAGGGAAACATCTGAGAGGCATATAACCCACCATGCAAAGGAGGCATTATTAATCCTATTGATCACATGCATCAGAAATGGTATGTGATTTACATAAGGTGACAAAGGGAGTTAATGGTTGAACTGGCAAGAGAATTAGGGTCTCTCTGATTCTTAAGCCCTAGTTCTGTCCACAAAATCATGCTCCCTTCCATTCATACACATATTTGTTTACTCATCCATACTAACCAACTCCATTGTCATCAAGTTGATTCCGACTCATAGCGACCTTACAGGACAGAGTAGAACTTCCCCACAGGGTTTCCAAGGCTGTAAATCTTAAAGAAATCAGACTGCCACATCTTTTTCCCATGGATTCAAACTGCCAGCCTTTTGGTTAGCAGCCAAGTGCTTAACCACTGAGACACCAGGGCTCCTTACCCATCCATACAATCGATTTTTACTGATTGTCTGCTGTGTGTCAACCTATGTATACATCTGAAAAAGACATAGTCCCTACTCTTATGTAGTATATGGTCTCTTAAAGGCACCTTTTATCTTAGTAGATACACATGCATGATTTACATTTCAGAATTCTCCAGTGTCTAAACATGCCAAAAACTTTGTTAACTGTGATACATCACAATATCGAAATTCCATGCACAGTATCTATAAGCACATGTAATCACAGCTAATAATAATAAGGTTCTAAGATATATGAACTAGATAAATGTATAGGTAAATATCTATCTTCTGACATGCAAGTAGGCTCTGTCAGTACATAATAAAATCATTAGTTCATTTTAGATTTTTTTAACCACTATATTTCACAACAAAAAGAAAAAGGCACAACATTTTTCTTAAATTGAAAAACAGCAGCTCCTGGTCCAACCTCCTATTACAACCCCAAGATGAGATTCTTTGCTATAAAATAAATACCTTCCCACCTGCTCCCCTTTTTAAACTGTAAGCGGATTGCTAATGTAGTGGTGTGGTGCAATGAATTACTTAATACGGCCCTTCTAGCCATAGCCTTTGTGACTCACACACAATGACTGACTGAGAATATGTAAATAAGGTATATGGAACCCTAATGAAGGGACTGGTCAGTTTAACCATCCCGCTAGGCTTGAAATGAGCCACCCCAGAGACGGGAAGGGAGGATTTCACCACCACCAAGAAAGAAGAGGCAGAAGTGGAGCACGACTTTTGGACCTGGGATCCCTGCACTGAGACGCTCCTGGAACAGGAGACTGAGAAACAGCTGTAACGCCAAAGACGGCAAGAAGCAGCGGCAGAAAAATGGAAGTAGCAGAGGTGGGAGACCAGTAGATGATGGTCAATGGGCTTTCTGGCCTGTGGAGCAAGAAAGCTGAGCACCTTCAGACAGGAGGCTTTCTGGTGGAGTAGGGTGCCTGTGGGCACTTGGTGGAGCTATGTTTGCTGACCCACACAGCTAGAGCTGAGCGTCTTCAGGGCTGAAGCTTACTGGCAGAGTAGGGTGCCTCGGGCATTTACAGGCAGAGCTAAAAGACCTTTGTAACACTAGTCCCAGCAGGGCACAGGCTAAGGGGCCTGAGAGACGTGCCTGTGGACACAGCTGAGAAGAGCCTGTCCTGATAGAAGAACTGTATCCTGACCGTTTCTGAACCTGAAGCGTAATCTGTTACTTCCCTAATAAACCCCGTAAACCTGAGTATGGTTTGTGAGTTGTGTGTGGCCATAGCAATGAATTATCGAACTCAGCAGAAAAAGAGTGCCGTGGGAAGGACGGCTGGTGCCAGAATTGGTAAAGACAGTGGAAAGAAGATGCATGTCTTCTGCCTCATAGGAATAAGCCTTGGGCTGTTGATCTTTATTCTCTTTCCCCCTTGTGAAGTTAGAGGAGGTCAGATGCCTATGCCACACCATTTTTACAAGTGGTTAAAATTTATCCACTTTAAATCTTTATCTATTCTGATCTTAGGGTGCATCATTGTTCCTTATTAAAGGAGAAAATAGCCTTCATAAACACTGTAACGCTATTAAGGTTTAAGTATATCTAACTTATAAAAAACTACATGAGATATTTTTTAAACTGAGAAAAAATATTAGTGGCATATCTCTTCCAGATATTATAATACCCTAAATTACTTCTTTCTAAATGGTATATAGTTAGGAAGGAGCCCTGGTGGTGCAAGAGTTAAGCACTTGGCTTCTAACCAAGAAAGACCTGGCATTTTGCTTCTATAAACATTACAGCCTAGAAAACCCTATGGGGCAATTCTACTCTGTCACATGGGGTTGCTATGAGTCAAAAATTGACTCAAGGGCATCTAACAACAATAAAAATATAGTTAGGTATATACTCCCTCCATCTGGTATTTTTATTCTTTATTTTTAAATCGTATAGAGTCTACTCTGTCCTATAGGGTTGTTATGAGTCAGAATCGACTCAACGGTATCATGGTTTGCATTATGTCCCCCAAAAAATGTGTGTAGCAGTTTGGCTAGGCCATGATTCCTGGTACTGTGTGATTTTCCTGTATGTTGTAAACCTGCCTCTATGATGTTAATGAGGGAGGATGGGTGGCAGTTGTGTTAGTAAACCAGGACCTGATCTACAAGACTGGATTGTGTGCTGAGGCAATCTCTTGAGATATAAAAGACAGAAGTGAGCAGTGAGACAGGGGGACCTCATACCATCAAGAAAGCAGGGCCGGGAGCAGAGCGCGTCCTTTGGACCGGGGTCCCTGCGCCGAGAAGCTCCTAGTTTGGGGAAACACTGAAGAGAAGGCCGACAGAGAGAGAAAGCCTTCCGCTGGAGCTGATTCCCTGAATTTGGACTTTTAGCCTATTTTGACTATGAGGAAATAAACTTCTCTTCATTAAAACCATCCACTTGTGGTATTTCTGTTATGGCAGCACTAGATGACTAAGACAGAATTTGGTACCGAGAGCGCGGTGCTGCTCTAACAGATACTTAAAATGTGGAAGCGGTTTTAAAACTGAATGGATAGACATGCAGCAGTGACAGAGGAACAGCAGCAACAGAGGACCTACAGCAGCAGAGAAGCGGTAGCGGCAGAGAACCAACAGCAGCAGAACCAGGAGACCAGTGCGAGATGGCACTGGAGCCAACCCACGGAGCAAGAGAGCTGAGTGCCTGTGTGCAGGAGGCTTCCTGGTGGAGTGGGGTGCCTCTGGGCACTTATCGGTGGATCTAGGCTTGCCGACCCATGGAACAAGAGAGCTGAGTGTCTGTGTGCACGAGGCTTTCTCGCGGAGTGGGGTGCCTCCAGGCACTTATACCGGTGGAGCTACAGAGCTTTGGAACACTTGCCCCAGTAGGGCAGATGCAGATGTGAGGCCCGAGGGTCGAGGGGCCATAAGAAGCAGAAGCTGAAGAGACAAGGGACACAAGAAGCCGAGTTGCTTGGGTCTCAAAAGGTATGGCCATGACCTCAGAGGTTTCAAAGGGTGGAGCTATGGCCTCTGGTGTTTCTAAGAGTAGAGTTGTCACTCCGATGGACTAGGAGAATGGTGCGCCTAAAGCCAAGGGAGAAGAGTTGCTGTCCCACTGGGCCTGGAAGGCGGAGCTGAAGCCCAGGGCTGAGGGGCCTCCACTCAAAATCCAGAAACTGTGGCCAATACCTAGAGTCTGGAGGGCAGGGCTATTGTGTAAATTGTTTCAGAGAACAGAAGATTATTTTCAAAGCCCTGAGGGCTAATGTAATGTGT